CAAGGTTGCATGGAGTTCGAGAAAGGATTCAAGAATCAAAAGACCAAGGTGTTACATGTCACTGCACTCCCGGTGCCTGACAAGCCGCGCAGAGAAGGAAGATTGCGATGAAGATGCAGCAAGAAAAGCAGAAGAGGGAGAAGAGGGAGCGACAAAGGGTGTTGAGGGAGCAGGAGAGGCAGATGGTGATGCGATCGTGGAGGAGCGGAGAGCTTGACACTCCTGTAGGAGGAGCAAAGGGAGAAGATGAGGCAGGAGGTTCTGTCGGAAAGGCTCTTGCAACTGGGTGCAGCGCTCTTGGCTGGTTACTCCACCAACTGATCGATGTGGCAGACTACAAGGATCCACTCTTGACGCCGACCAACGACGTCAAAGATGAGCCGGTGGGCCAATGAGGCCTTCAGGCAAGTTTGACGAGTTCGACAGGTGCACGAGACTGTCAAGTTCGATCATCAGGGCGGGTCGTCGACTATAGTAGAGGTCGAGAGCTTGGAGATCGACCCGATGGCGGTGACTGGAACCTTTCGTGCTGCCTCTTGTAATGGAAACGCCAGGCTAAGATGGCGATGCTCCAGAACCTCCCTCCCCTGCCCAACTCAAGACACAAGTGACGAGACAGTCAACGAATTGACGCGTTCATTTGATGCCAGTGCAACAAAAATGCCTCACTGCAGCAGCACGAGCTCGTTGAGGGTGAAGACGAAGACGGTCGCATCACACGCGCACGTCTCATGACTTGGAAGAACTCTTGGCTGCTGCCTTGCGAGCTTCCGCTTTTCGCTCCGCGGACTCGATGAGAGGACCAAGCTTCTGCTTCTCTGCAAGACCCTGCAAAGCAAGAGAGTGTCAACGTGCAAAGCATTTGCTAGACAAGCATTCGACAACAAACTGACCTGAAGCAAGTTCATGATAAAAGGAATGAAGTTATGTCGGCGACGAGCATTCTCTCTCGCGTATCGTTGAAATTTCTCATCCTCCATGTCCAGGAGCTGCAGCGTAACCAAAAGTCAAGACAGAGAAACTTGAACTCGAGCTACCGACCTGACGCAGCTCTGACGCGCGATACTTGAAGCGGTTCAGCATGCTCTGCGCGCATCGGGAATCATGAGGAAAAGATTGTGAGGGGCGTGGGACGAACCTTCAGCTGCTCGACACTCTTGTCCGTCACGTCGACTGGCGCCTCCTTGCTATCATAGCCCTCCGTGTCGACGTCCTCCATCATGTCTTCCACCTCCTCTCCTGCAGTCAAAATGAGAACAATGCGGACGGGCGGCCAGTGGGCAACCGTGAGAGAGGAGCGCCGCACTGATGAGCTGAGAGTCCGTCTGCAGCTTGCATAGCTCTTGCATGTACATGTCCCTAGGAAGATTCAGTACGACCAAGAGGTACAAGGGATCCAGGACTTCTTGTTGGCGCAGACAGCCAAAAGATTAAAGCGGATCTCGTTGGAGGAATATTTCTCGATCCTATCCTGCAGGATGGGCCGCACCTGGCGTGCAAGGGTTGAATCAGAAGGAGCTTCTGTAATGACTCAGCAGACTTTCACCTGTTTCCACCACTGAGAAGTATCTGTGCAATCTCCCAACAAGATCGGTCCCTCTTGCAGACCATCCAGCTCCCAGAGTTTGCCACCGATGGGCATGTAAGCTGTGAAGTGATAGGCGTCTCCGTCTTTCCTTGACTTGTCCTCTTCCATTTCAAACGGTTCGGGTCTGAGCCACAGAAGTCAGCCACGAGCGACACAAGGGAGTCTGTAGAGACCTGGCGAAGCTGTTGTGGCAGCTTCTCATCATCTCACTGTTGCTCATCGCCTCGCCCTTGAGGTCAGGAGGGAAGTCAGCCGTGAAGGTCTTGAACTCCGTCAGCTCCTTGCCCAGGTTAATGCCCTCCGCGTTCATCATGATGTTGAGCAGGGCTTGCGTGCCGCAGGCGTTGTGGATGACTTGCTTGGCGAAGTAGAGGTTGTGGTTTTGAACGCAAGTCGAGCTCGCACGATGCGTCGACGCCATGTCTTGCGTCCACTTGAACAAGAAGATCAAACCATAGATCGGAGCCAAGTTTGAAAACTCAGCATCTTCCATAGTCACAATCTCCTCCACCTGTGAGTCAAAGATGATATCATTTCGTCATGGCAAAATACCTTCACAGAGAATGTTGTCGACTACTTCTTAAATTAAATGGTTTGAGCTGTGCAAATCTCATCCTACCTCCTGCATGCTCTTTTCCTTGTGCCTCATCACTTTGTACGAATACATTCCAACAACAACGTGCAGCAGTACATCTACCCTATACCACTGAGACCGGAAGTGGGAAGCGATGATAGAGAGGAGGGACGTCGGAAATGGAAGAGGAAGCTATGAGTGATGAGGTGAGAGAAGATGGAGGTGGCAGGAGGGAGCAAGAGGCAGGGAGCTGAGAGGAGGAGGGAGAATGCGTCATCAACCTGGGTTCCTCGTATCCCGAAGTCTCTTGCAAGCGACGTGAACACCGCGGGGTCGCTCTCGATAGTCGACCATCCCTGCGTCATTGAGCAACTCCCGCCGCTTTCCTGTATCCGGCCCTCATCCCCACTTTTATATTCGATCTGACAGACGGGCCAACCCCTAGTGTGGGAATTAATTGGTACAAATATTTAGTTAAATACCCCGTCTTTCCCTATCGCGCCTCCGATGCAGTAGTGCGTTCGGGGCGCTATGGCGAGGAATTTGGGGGGTGCGGCATGCCATGGCAGGGTGTCACGAGAAAATTCAAAACAGACTTTTGGCGGGCAAAGCAAAGTTGCCCCACACCATGGGCGGGCCGCGGCCGTCAGCGAAGAAAACATGCTCATCATGCCACAGACGAAGTGAGATGACCAGCGTTCGAAAGTGGCATGGTGTGCCTTTGTGCACAGCTTGTGTTGCAAGGTTGAAAAAACACAAGAATTTCAACGATCTTGAGCAGAGTTTGCTCAACTAAATGTGATGATGCCTTGGTTTTTAAGCTGTTGAATTCTTGCAATGTCATGGCCATGCAACTTTATCTGTGGAGTGTGAAGACGAGAATCTTCTAGCTTCAGCGACCCATTAAGTGGAGTCTTCGTTATGTATCCTAGTTGAAGTCCAAAACAAACTAAAGGTCCTCGGAGATGTCTATGGGCATACATCAGAAGGATTTTCGAGATGTTTTCTCCAGCACTATATGCAGGTTTTCGAAAAACAAGCATCTGGTAGATCACATGGAGGGACAAAGGCCGTGTATGAGCACTTGAATCGACTTCGTACACGTATTGGCAATATTCACAGGAAGAATCGAAACCTTCTTTCTCGAATCGAAGAATGGTCTACTGCTCACTTCGAGGATTTGCATTCATTGCAAACTATACACGATTACTTTGTGGAGTAAGTCTTAGATGTTGCTTTCTTTCCATGCCAGTGACCTGACGATCATTGTACAGGTATGCAAGAATGCGGGATGACACAAGTGAGAGTCTTCCAAACAAACATGCCAAGGCGAAATCCGATGGTGACGATTTGTCTTCATTGCCCATCACACCTCAGCGAGCAATTGTACACATTGATGTTGCCGAGATGAGAGAAATCAAACAGTTGGTTTTGCATTTACGACAGAACCAGGCCACATGGCAAGTTCAACAGGAGAAGACGCTATGATGCAATACGAGCAAGAGGCCCAGAGCGACCCTGAAAGAGATGTTATGCAGGCTTCAAATAGTTTGCAGACGGCACGGATATGAAGAAGTTCTTTCATTGGCCAACCACAATGAAGAGGGGGGGGAAACATTCACTCCTTGGGAGATGGAGCGAAGAATAGCTGATGGACTAAATGACTTTGATGAACACAAGATCCGATCCTGTCATCTCTCCAATTACTAAGAAGTTTTGTTGTTTTTCTCGCCGTGCATCAATCACTTGCTGAAGAATGTAAGACATTCAATTGGATCAGGGAAGTTGCAGTCATCATCAAGGGAAGCAAAGACATGGCATAAAGCTTACAGCAATATCGCAAAGAAGAATCCTGCATGGATGACTCAGATGGAAGTCGACGGGACCGCCGATCCACAATCGGTGAATATCATGCTGAAGATGTTCAGTGACAAGGCCATCAGTCTACTGAAGGCAGAAGGGCATGAAGCAACAGCATGAATGGCAGAAAGTATGTCTAGCCTGCACAATGCATTCGATCAAAGAGAGCTGAAAGTTTCAGAGAGGATAATTCTCGTACAAGATGGTCGAAGATGCTTGTTGGAAGGCATCGACTGGACCAGTGTCAGCCACAAATATGTCAAAGGACTATCCTCTGTCACATTTTGAAGGGTTTATGGTTGCAATTGATACTCATTTGCAAGTACAACAGTATGTTAGGGATAAGAATCATGCGCTGGGTGATAGAGAGTATGACTTCAATTCACGAACTCTCTGTAGAGAATCTTTGGTCCTTGATCGGCCATCTGAACAAGAAGGATTTCTTGAGAAAATTCAATCAGGCTTGCACAGAGTTATGTAAAAACGTGGAGCCTGACCTGCCCTTTGTGTACGAGCATTCGAAAAAACGAGTTGTCCTGGCCAGATCATCTCTGAGCCCTTTTAGGCGTAGGAACTCCTCCATGCTACATGCTACATGCTACATGTAGCTCTGGGTTACAGAACTCAAGAACCGGAGAGCCCTCACAAATGCCTGCTTCAACTGGTCTGATGGCTCCTGACACCCCTTGACCCACACGAACTTGACATTCTGTTTCAAGAGATTCGTCAAAGGTATCGCCAATTCAGCGAATTTAGGAATGAAGCGTCGATAGTAGTTGCCTACTCCAAGCCAGGAATTGACTTCCTTCACGGTGATTAGTAGGAGGCCTCGCCATGATAGCATCCACTTTCGGCTTTTCACGGTGTGCGGATTCAAAATTCTTCAATGCGGAATCCCAAGAACTGACATGTCGACTTCTTATCTGACGGTCGTGCTCCTCTGATATTGCCAACTGAAATGGATGCCACGTTGTCCATTTAAGAAAAGTCGGGTGTGTCCTCCAGTCCCTGCAATGCAGACTCCAGAAAGCGCTGGAACTGTGAGGCCGAGTCGTCCAGCCCAAACAGTAGACGTGTGAATTGAAACTTGCCGAGCTTGCCGCACAAAGGCTGCCCCGGTGATAGGGCGAGAGCTCACCTGTAGCTCGACCTGCCAACATGAGCGTGAGAGGTCCATGCTAGATATGAAGACTCTGATTTGCTCCTCTGGAACGGATGAGACTTTGACCATATCTCTCTGAAGCATGTAGGATAAAGCCTGGGCCTGCAAATCCCCTTCAAGTGCGATTCAGTGGAATCGGGTAAGGCTTGCTCTGAACGGGTTGACCTCCTTCATGCAGTTCGATTTTAATTTTGAACTCCCGATTGAGTTTCGCTCCCACTTGGGGACCTCCACGGGGACCTCCACGGGGACCTCCACGGGGACCTCCACGGGGACCTCCACGGGGACTTCCACGGGGACCTCCACGGGGACCTCCACGGGGACCTGCACCAGCCCTTTCAACCAGAACCTAGCATATACCTTCTAGTCTCCCATCCAGATCGTGACATCACTATCATGGAGCCACGAAGACGAAATAATATCAGTATGTTGTAAGGATATGACATAAAACCTCGCCCTGCTTTGGAAACGCGGCCCTAGTGCGTCAATGTCACCACTCCCTTGGATATCTCCAGTCTCACGAACCCGATTAGCCATCTCCACTGCCACGATCTCGTCCGCAGTCCAAGTCTTGTGTGTTGATCGGCGACAAGACCCATCTGTCGAGCCACTCTCTCATCGATGAAGTTCTCGTCCGCCCCTGTGTCCAGCAACGCACGCAGCGCTGGTTGTTTAACGCCCTTCAGGTAGAGGCACAGGTGAGGAAGAGGGGGGGAGTAAAATGTCGTCGCCTGGGGTCCCCCCTTCGCTAGGCGACGGTTCTCATGGAAATGTACATTCTTCGACAACCTGGGACACTTGGATCGTACACGCCTCAGAAGTTCCCAAACGATTCCTTCCTACGATACCTTATCCGGGGAGCAGGCGACCATACGATACGTCACTGCTGAGTGTTATCTCTGGAACAAGTTGGCCACCACCGACTCCTTGGTCCCTTGCTTCATGTCCCGAAGCAGGGTCATCAGCTTGATCGGAAAGTCCGGTGACATCCATGTTTTCTTATCCCCAAGAAGTAATTCAATTCGTAACGTATTCACCCATGAGGCCTTTGGCGGAGTTGATCCACTGCTCCTTTGGGATAGACTGCGAACTCAATTGAAACTCAAGTGACGCCAGCCAGGTAACGACCGAGAATTCCACTTCCCTCTTGCCAATTCCACTTTCCTTGTTCCACTTCCCATTTGAAAGCTTCGTAACGATAGCGGAGGATAAGAAACCGTATGATAAGAATCGAATTTGATAGGCATCGTTGTAACTTCCGGCGACGTGCATCACCCGACTCACTTCTACATCGCCACCATGATCGGATCGCAGTCCGTGTTGTCGTCTTGTGCATGGCATCAGTGACCTCCTCTTCACAAATGCCGGGCAGCCCCGCGGAGTCACCCGACAGGCAGGGGACGCGAGCGAGCTTGTCCCATCCGTATCTCTATCCTTCCGCGAGCTCCTGCCTCTCGCCCTGGGTGTCGCTCTCTCCCGGTCTTCTTCCGAGGCTTCATCCCCATCGGGTGATCGCCCTTCCCTGCCCATCGGCTCCTCTAGTAGCCTGGACCCCTGTCGGGTTCTCATACGCGGCATTTATTCATGTTGCGACCCACGGCAATACAAACTGCACAACTGAGGTCCGACCTGTCCTCTACCATCCCATAGATCATCAACCCGCAGGGTTGCGATGCCATGCGGCTAAGATCGAAGACATGACGAAAAGAAGGCTGAGCATGACATTGAGTTTGAAGCTCCCCTTGGAGTCGAGCTCATCCCTCTGGCCGGCGGTGAGCTGCCTCGGACTGTGTCGGCCGCATCGGCTCGATGCTTGATGGCCACGGCGTCACCTTTGAGCTAGTTGGTTTGCCTTAGTTCTTTGTCGCCTGGTTGTCTGGGTTGATGATGGCACTGTCTCCGGCTTCTCGTGCAGTACGTGGAGCTTTTAGCTTTGCAGATGGAACGTAGCACAGGTACACAGGTATCTCTGCCGAGTCACAAACCATCAGGCCACAATCACGCGCATCAGTAAAGAACTGGGTCGCTACGCGACCAGCATCGTCAAACTGCTCTCGGGTGCCATTGAAGAGTATACCCATGGCTGCGAGCCTGGCATCCTTTCCTAGTATGTCAGCTTTGGCATTGAATGCTATGGACATATTGTAGATGACATGGAAGAGCTTCCTTGGGTCTTCGCAGAACTCAAAGTATATGTACTCTCCTCTCTGGATGTTGACGTCGGAGAAGGCTTGTTGGCATGTCCCAACCCGGTATATATCTCTCTCCGGGTCTTGAATGACATCCTTGAACAATGTCCCGAGACGCAGGTTATCCTCTTTGAAGGTAAGACACAATCCCAACCTCAGCACATCCCCGGCTTTGTATTGCCGCGCCTGCTCCGGTCCAAACAGTAGGTACTTTGTCACTTGTTGCTCTTTGTTGTACTCAGAGATCCTGGACAACTATGTATTAGCATTGGACTAGCAAGCGCCAGCACCAATAAGATGTTCGCAGACCTGGAGTTCGTGCCATGCTTATCGCTGCTTTCGGCTTGCTTGAGCTCGGCTATGGAAGGTTTGTGTTGTGTGCTTGCCTGGCTCATGATGATACTGTCTCCGGCCGTACGTGCAGTACGTGGAGCTTTTAGCTTTGCAGATGGAACGTAGCACAGGTACACAGGTATCTCTGCCGAGTTATAAAACATCAGGCCACAATCACGCACATCAGTAAAGAACTGGGTCGCTACGCGACCAGCATCGTCAAACTGCTCTCGGGTGCCATTGAAGAGTATACCCATGGCTGCGAGCCTGGCATCCTTTCCTAGTATGTCAGCTTTGGCATTGAATGCTATGGACATATTGTAGATGACATGGAAGAGCTTCCTTGGGTCTTCGCAGAACTCAAAGTATATGTACTCTCCTCTCTGGATGTTGACGTCGGAGAAGGCTTGTTGGCATGTCCCAACCCGGTATATATCTCTCTCTGGGTCTTGAATGACATCCTTGAAGAATGTCCCGAGACGCAGGTTATCCTCTTTGAAGGTAAGACACATTCCCAACCTCAGCACATCCCCGGCTTTGTATTGCCGCGCCTGCTCCGGTCCAAACAGTAGGTACTTTGTCACTTGTTGCTCTTTGTTGTACTCAGAGATCCTGGACAACTATGTATTAGCATTGGACTAGCAAGCGCCAGCACCAATAAGATGTTCGCAGACCTGGAGTTCGTGCCATGCTTATCGCTGCTTTCGGCTTGCTTGAGCTCGGCTATGGAAGGTTTGTGTTGTGTGCTTGCCTGGCTCATGATGATACTGTCTCCGGCCGTACGTGCAGTACGTGGAGCTTTTAGCTTTGCAGATGGAACGTAGCACAGGTACACAGGTATCTCTGCCGAGTTATAAAACATCAGGCCACAATCACGCACATCAGTAAAGTGCTTTGGCGCTACGCGACCAGCATCGTCAAACTGCTCTCGGGTGCCATTGAAGAGTATACCCATGGCTGCGAGCCTGGCATCCCTTGGTAATATCTCAGGATTGCAACTGAACACTGCGCACATATTGTAGATGACATGGAAGAGCTTCCTTGGGTCTTCGCAGAACTCAAAGTATATGTACTCTCCTCTCTGGATGTTGACGTCGGAGAAGGCTTGTTGGCATGTCCCAACCCGGTATATATCTCTCTCCGGGTCTTGAATGAGATCCTTGAACAATGTCCCGAGACGCAGGTTATCCTCTTTGAAGGTAAGACACAATCCCAACCTCAGCGAATCCCCGGCTTTGTACTGCCGCAACTCCGGTCCTCTCTTTTGGCACATTTTCATTGGTTGTTGATACGCCCTAGCACTAGCAAGCGCCAGCATCAATAAGTTGTTCGCGGACCAGGAGTTCCTGAGCGAAGGGGTCAGATCCTGTCGCGCCGCCCATCCCCTCGTACCTCTGCCATGCCATGTTTCTGCGGAACGGATCCTCGACCGGCTTGTACCAAAAGAGGAGAGGAGGGGCGAGGAAAAAAAGAAAGAAGCGCGGGAAACCTTGTTGCGATAAGCGTTGGTTTGCATTTACCCGCGTTGTTTGATTTAGAGACTGTAGGTGGGTAGGATTTCAAATATGAGGCGGAGGTTTGGCACATTTCGATTGGATTTCACGCTCGCCGCAACGTTCTTGCAGCTTTCAACTCGATATTGGCATGAGTGATCCCCACCCCACCCTACACCACCCCCTGCATCTTGCAGACAAACCCACCCCTACTTACATCTCTTAAACCTGGGGTATCAACTGGAGCCTCGGCGAAACAGCAGTTGCTTTAAACTGGCTGCCAAAACGTTCCATACCAGCAGGCGGCGAGCGTGAAATCCAATCGAGATGTGCCAAACCCTCCCCTCATTTTTCAAATCCTACCCACCTACAGTCTCTAAATCAAACCGCGCGGGTAAATGCAAACCAACGCTTATCCCAACAAGGTTTCCCGCGCTTCTTTCTTTTTTTCCTCGCCCCTCCTCTCCTCTTTTGGTACAAGCCGGTCGAGGATCCGTTCCGCAGAAACATGGCATGGCAGAGGTACGAGGGGATGGGCGGCGCGACAGGATCTGACCCCTTCGCTCAGGAACTCCTGGTCCGCGAACAACTTATTGATGCTGGCGCTTGCTAGTGCTAGGGCGTATCAACAACCAATGAAAATGTGCCAAAAGAGAGGACCGGAGTTGCGGCAGTACAAAGCCGGGGATTCGCTGAGGTTGGGATTGTGTCTTACCTTCAAAGAGGATAACCTGCGTCTCGGGACATTGTTCAAGGATCTCATTCGAGACCCAGAGAGAGATATATACCGGGTTGGGACATGCCAACAAGCCTTCTCCGACGTCAACATCCAGAGAGGAGAGTACATATACTTTGAGTTCTGCGAAGACCCAAGGAAGCTCTTCCATGTCATCTACAATATGTGCGCAGTGTTCAGTTGCAATCCTGAGATATTACCAAGGGATGCCAGGCTCGCAGCCATGGGTATACTCTTCAATGGCACCCGAGAGCAGTTTGACGATGCTGGTCGCGTAGCGCCAAAGCACTTTCTTGATGTGCGTGATTGTGGCCTGATGTTTTATAACTCGGCAGAGATACCTGTGTACCTGTGCTACGTTCCATCTGCAAAGCTAAAAGCTCCACGTACTGCACGTACGGCCGGAGACAGTATCATCATGAGCCAGGCAAGCACACAACACAAACCTTCCATAGCCGAGCTCAAGCAAGCCGAAAGCAGCGATAAGCATGGCACGAACTCCAGGTCTGCGAACATCTTATTGGTGCTGGCGCTTGCTAGTCCAATGCTAATACATATTTGTCCAGGATCTCTGAGTACAACAAAGAGCAACAAGTGACAAAGTACCTACTGTTTGGACCGGAGCAGGCGCGGCAATACAAAGCCGGGGATGTGCTGAGGTTGGGATTGTGTCTTACCTTCAAAGAGGATAACCTGCGTCTCGGGACATTCTTCAAGGATCTCATTCAAGACCCAGAGAGAGATATATACCGGGTTGGGACATGCCAACAAGCCTTCTCCGACGTCAACATCCAGAGAGGAGAGTACATATACTTTGAGTTCTGCGAAGACCCAAGGAAGCTCTTCCATGTCATCTACAATATGTCCATAGCATTCAATGCCAAAGCTGACATACTAGGAAAGGATGCCAGGCTCGCAGCCATGGGTATACTCTTCAATGGCACCCGAGAGCAGTTTGACGATGCTGGTCGCGTAGCGACCCAGTTCTTTACTGATGCGCGTGATTGTGGCCTGATGGTTTGTGACTCGGCAGAGATACCTGTGTACCTGTGCTACGTTCCATATGTAGAGCCAAAAGCTCCACGTACTGCACGTACGGCCGAAGACAGTGCCATCATCAACCCAGACAACCAGGCGACAAAGAACTAAGGCAAACCAACTAGCTCAAAGGTGACGCCGTGGCCATCAAGCATCGAGCCGATGCGGCCGACACAGTCCGAGGCAGCTCACCGCCGGCCAGAGGGATGAGCTCGACTCCAAGGGGAGCTTCAAACTCAATGTCATGCTCAGCCTTCTTTTCGTCATGTCTTCGATCTTAGCCGCATGGCATCGCAACCCTGCGGGTTGATGATCTATGGGATGGTAGAGGACAGGTCGGACCTCAGTTGTGCAGTTTGTATTGCCGTGGGTCGCAACATGAATAAATGCCGCGTATGAGAACCCGACAGGGGTCCAGGCTACTAGAGGAGCCGATGGGCAGGGAAGGGCGATCACCCGATGGGGAGAGAGAGCGACACCCAGGGCGAGAGGCAGGAGCTCGCGGAAGGATAGAGATACGGATGGGACAAGCTCGCTCGCGTCCCCTGCCTGTCGGGTGACTCCGCGGGGCTGCCCGGCATTTGTGAAGAGGAGGTCACTGATGCCATGCACAAGACGACAACACGGGCTGCGATCCGATCATGGTGGCGATGTAGAAGTGAGCCGGGTGATGTCAGTCGGACGACCCTTGTCATGTCAAGTTTTGTTCTTGTCTTGTTTACTTTCTATCGTGCCTTCGACACCGCTACGTGCAAGGTCTGCATATTGCAGAGCAAAGGCCTGGAGCTGGTCAGGTCTGACAGATCTTTGTTTTTCACCAAGCAATGCTGTCGCTTCGTTCAATGATAGCGGGGGGGGTCTGCTTGAAGAACTCGGTTTCATGATCGCCTCCGGCCCTGGTGTCGCTGTCGGCATCCGGCACGGAGTCCTGCTCCTTGCTGACTTGCCGTGGTCCCTCCTTGTTTTCATGGCAGTCTGACAAACTCTGCTCTGTCATCCGTCTAGCAGGAGCCTCGTCCAGCCATCCTTGCTGTCCTGAGGCAGAGATATCAAGCTCCGAGGGAGTGGGAGGTGTCGCTTGAAAGAGTAAGTCGTGTCAGTGTCATCGAGATGCCGCGATGTCTGAATGAAATCCTGGTAGACTTCTTCTTTGGTCCGCCTCCTCGCTTCCTGACCCTCGATCCATCGACCCCCTCCTTCATCCAGCCCTGCATGCATATTCCTGTCTCCGGGTCCTTTGGCATCGTCTGCCGACAGGCTTGCTGTAGCAGTTGCCTCACAGCTCAACGAGTTGCCCTCCCACGGAACGCGAGGATGGCATGTCTTTGCCTCGCTCAGATCTTGGTGCTCATCACCAGACATACGATGCTCTGCCAGATTGAGCGTCGTCGGGTCATCTGTTCCGCCGCGCTCGCACAAGTCCTGAGAAACTGATTTTTCGGGCTCAGGACAGCATGGTTGCATTTGACGGCGGGGTCGAGTGTGGTCAGGTGTACCATGTCACCTTTCTCATCAACCTTGCTCTCGTGGTTGTCTTTCCTGCCATTCTGCACAGAAAAGTGCACTCCCGATCCTCATCCCCGAGCTCCTCCTCCATTCCAAGTCCTCTTCATCTCCTGCTGCATCTTATGCTGCAGGTTGCGGAAGGCGAAAGGGCTCCCAGAATTCCAGCACCGCACGCGGATAAAATCGAATCAACTCGTCCAAGAAGGGGCCAGCGCCTTTCACTCGAAGTTTGTGCGTGTTGATAGCTTCGGAATCGTAACTGATCTCAGGGTATAGCGAATCCATCTTGATGGAGTGGTAGATGTCGACGTGGGTGGTGTGACTCGCGCTCAGCAAGTGTTGTGACCTTCTGCCTTCTCTCCTCCTCCAGTAGCTTCTCAGCTTGCTCCTTGAGGATTGCAAGGTTCGGAGCCAATGCCCATAGCGCTGCACGAGCAGCTCGTTCAATTCCCACGAATTGTTCCCAAACTTATCCTGACGACATTAAGCATGGCGTCGCACGATGCTCGTGCAAGTCAGGCGATATCACCACAAGTCTCTCTACATTCTTGAGGTTCGATGGGTTGTAGATGGCTGGAAGATGATCTGCAAGCTTGACTTCAAGTCCGTCCCCTCCCTGACTGTTTTAAAACAACTTAAAAACTTTAGTTAATTAGAGGACGAAGATAAAACCTACAAACCCGCCTCAATAAAATACTAGGAAACGAAGGAGGCAGCGAAAACCGAACCACGCGAGCCTTGTGTCACGGCAGTTGGACCCGTTCGGTCGGTTGACTAGGCTTGTCAACCCGTGACACAGATGAGAGCAGGAGGATGAGCGGGATGGTGGCAGTGCGATGGAGGATGAGAAGGAGCACGCTGACGCTCCTTGCGGCAATAATCAGCGGCATGTACGTACACACGGTGGTGGTGATGATGATGAAGGAGGAGAAGATGATGATGATGATGATGATGGAGATGATGATGATGGAGATGATGGAGATGATGGAGATGATGATGATGATGATGATGATGATGATGATGATGATGATGATGATGATGGAGATGATGGAGATGATGATGATGATGATGATGTTGTTGTTGTTGTTGTTGTTGTTGTTGTTGTTGTTGTTGTTGACTCAGTGATGGAGACGATGATGGAGATGTTTATTTCGCATATTCTTCTTTAATCGTGACAATCGCTCGCTCATTTCGCCTCGTCGACAGGCGTGCGGCTGAAGCGGCGATCTGCTGCAACCCAATTCCGTTCGGAGATGGCGGGTGGTGCCATAGATCCAACTGTCTTGGTGCCGGCTGTCAACTCGATGACCCGAGAACGCCGGAAGATGAATCTTTAAGGCAGGTGAAGGAATTGTTTCAGCAACATTGTAACTGTTCGATCCTGAATGGTTCCCTAGTGTTCAGACATCACTCAGTGCGTCTGCGCTGGAATTGTTGGATGGACAACCAAATCGTTTTGTTCGATCGAAAGGTACACACCTGTTCACAGATAAGGTAGAGAGAGCAACAAGAGATTGAGGAAGGTCATTCAAAGGCAGACAGAAAGAGTAGGAGACAGGCAGGCAGGCAGGCAGGCAGGCAGGCAGGCAGGCAGGCAGGCAGACTCAGATAGAGTCAAGACAGAGAGGCAGAAAATTGAAGCAAAATGAAGGTGTCTGACCTGTTCGAACTTCAAGGTCTTGTAAAAATGCACAAGCAGACTATGACAGTGCAAGACAATGGGTTTGTTTCTCTGTGGATCGAATGAACCATCTTCCTTTCTCACACTTGGAGATCAGATTGTAGACAGAACAACTGAGAATCCTGGTGAAGAATGTGTGAAGGTGTTGCTGAAGGTGAGGACTCATATAATTATCTAGCTCGATCGTGAGACAACAATGAACGCAGGTTGTGTGTGCTTATCACTTTCCGTGAGTTCTTATCGAGACAATTCTTGATCTCGTTGCCTCAGATCACTTTGCAATGCCCGCAGATTCTGCGCCAATGATGTTCTCTCGTATGACCAAGTCTGTTACTCTGCATGCAAGGTAAGGCATCTTTGCAAGCTCTGTTTGTGACCTCTAAGTTTCTCAAGGCTATGAACGATACTTGTGGAATAACCCTGGACAAGTTTGCGCATGTGGGAATGAGATGTAACTTCAAGAAGATCGATCCAGCAAACGTCGGCCAGGTTAGCCCGATCGCATGCACGAAGCTCCCGTTGCAAGTGACACCGAGCAGGTCACTCGTGGCAATCAGAGGTGCACGGCCAGCGGTTCACGCCTGGACCTATCCATCCCTCTGATCCTGTTCTCTGTACTCGTGATCTTCAGCCTGGAAGAGTTGAGATTGGGATCGCGACCCGCGATGAGTGCTGGTTGACAGCAGCGATGAAGTCTGTTCTCAGTACTCGCGAGCTCATCAGATATCTCTCTGTATTCCTACCCTGTTATCTTGTTCATTAAATCCACACACACCAAATCTGGTTAGCGAGCATGGGCGCAAACAAGCTCTCACTTCACGCCTATCTGCCTCCGCAAGCTCTTTTAAGGGTGTCCTACATTCTTAACAGTTGGTGCCACCCTCGATGCAAACGTCGAAGGGGTTGGGAATGACGCCAGCAAGGTATCCAATGGCAAGGATGAGAAGAGGAGCCCCGATGAAGATGACCCCTTGGAGAAGACCAGGGTCACATTAAGGACACACCTATGATGATAGTAGGACACTGACCTAGGATGACGGCAACTCTGTTGCTGGCCAGTGCTAGTGGGCCCTTCTCTTGCTTCTCGCGATCTTGAATCCTGCGTCCAGCGCAACGTCAGCAGGGAAATATCTTACGTGTTTCAGAGACGGAGCGCGACTCACTTCTGTCTCTCCATGACTCGCTCCATCTGAAGCTGCCTTGCGCTCTTGCCCTCTGAGCTCACTGGAGCAGGGGAGGAAGAGGAATCCGAGCTGGGACGCTCCCACTGTGTCGTCCCCTCCGGACTCATGTAGTATGGGTTGCCGGAGGAAGGATCAGTGAACTCCTGCCAGCCGGGCGGCAGCTGCGTCCCCTGACTGCCCTTGCGTGTCTGCATGCAGAGAGACAGCTTGGAGGTCTGAACACGATTCTTGGAGATGCCAGCAAGGGGGAGGAGAGCGAGAGAACTTGAAACGCCAGCCTTCCTTGGCAACCATGCCGCCTGCTGGCCTGTGAAAGCAGAAGCAGAGGCACAAAGAGCGAAGAGAATCAAGCTTCGGATCATGTCGAAAGTTGTCTCAGTCTGTGTCTTTCTCGTTCTGTCTTCGTCTCCTCCTCCTCGTTCTTCCCTCCTGCCTCTTCCTGGCTGTGCTCGTAGAATTTAGCAGTGGAGGTGTTTGTAACCCCCCACCCCACCCCCCTAAGTACACATTAGTACCACCCCCGGAGACATTAAGAGCAAACGGGGTGGTGTATGTATGGATTTTGCAGATGAACTCCTCAGAAATGCATAATTCAGAAATTCAGAAAACAAGAAAAAATTACAAGCCGAGAGCACAAAACCAACACAACAAGGCATCACAACAAGGCATGTCGCTTGTAGGATCCCAGTTACTGTTAGTAATATCAATCGAAAATCCAGCATGAGTTTAAGATGTAGAACGTGTATGATCCAGTACATCTCGACACAGTCGTAGTCCACGGCACGGTATCACCTTTTCCTCCTTTTAGAGTTCATGATGACCTGAATCTTCTTGGTGTAATCCTTACATCTGGCCACCGCGTTACACTCGAAGTTGTCGACATTGTCAAAGAGCTTCTTGTAGTAATCCCTTCGCTTTTCGCTCTCACTCTTCTCAATAACCCTATCGTCAGTCTCAATCGAGTCCTCCTCCTCTGCTCGCCCACGGGACCCTGGCATGCAGCACGTACAACACTTGATCGTCTTGTGCAACCATTTTTGCAACCAGTTTTCACTCTTGATCTTCTTGCGCGAAGAGTTTTCCCTCTTGATCTTCTTGCGCAACCAGTTTTCCTTTAACATCGACTCATATCGCAGGACCTCACATGCAAAAGGGAAAATCCACAGGGTGGAAGCGATCTTCATGCACTTTTCGATCTCGTCGGAGATAATGGCGATGATGACGTTCATGTAGAGGAGGTTCAGGAGAATCACCCACACGACCTGCAGTATCAGCGTAAACTGCCAGACGCTGGAGCTGATGAGGAAGGTGTCGAACGAAACTTGCCCCAGCATGATGAACACAAGCTCGAGCATGACTTGGAACACGTCTCCCTCATAGTTGAAGTCCTCTGCTTCACCTTCAGCGGGATGCCGAATTGTTACCCATATTGAGAAACCGAAAGACATGAGCAGAGGAACAAACAGAAGCGTAAGGAAGAAGACGTGCTTGATAAGCACGATGTAGAGCACCAGCAGGTTGGTGCCGATCCTCTCGATTGGCAGGAGGGCATGAAGGAGGGTGCACACAACGAAGATCCAGCCGAGGGCAAGAGCAGTCAACTCCCCTCGGATGTCATCCCTGTAGAAGCAGATGAGCGAAGCGTGGACGGTGACGTTGATGCAGACATAGAGGATGAGCGCAAGGTTCTTGAACACCCCTGAGGAGATCTTGTCGTACAACTTCACCGGCCTCCCGTCCTCGTTAGGATGGAAGTCTCGGTGGGTCAGCCTGCGGCGTTTCCATCCTGGATACAGCAGCCACCAGGTCGCAGCCATCTTCGTCCAAATCGGAACTTCTGTCTTCCAGCTTGCTGGTGTGACACTTCCATCCTCTCTGAAGTCGAGCAGCCGTAGGATGGAGCAAACAGAGAATACGACGAGGTAGGCAATATAGGGGATGAGCGTTTTCCCGATGTAAACGTAAATCCCAGACTTCCACCACTTGCTCTGGATGATCTCCTTGAAAGTTTCCTCTTCTGCAAACTCAGCAATCTCATGATATGCGATGATTTCGACCCCACAGAGAGTTCTGAGTTTCTCTGCCGATCCGCCGTTAGTGTCCATCTGAAGTTTTTTCAGAAGATGCCCGTAGGGAGGCGCTCTTCTTTCAGCCGATCTGAGAATATAGTCGTACATGTCTCTGTATCCCAGTCGTATCGCGAGGAGAAAGGGAGTGAGGCCATCCAGGTTCATGATTTCAAGAGAGGAAGTGTAAGAGAGATTTTCGATGCATTGGTTACAACCTTTGCACGCTGCTCCCTTGCAGAAATTTTCTGGGTAGCGTTCATCATGCAATTGATCTCCCTGCGGCTTAGCAACTCCCTCCATTCTGCCTCCATTTTGGTCGTGCCCCTTCACTTGACTTGCAGGCCTTCCTTTCCCCTCCCTTTCCTTGGCATGCCTTCTCTTGAGTTTCAACAACTTGAGCTTTGACATGATCGTGTATTCCAGATCCAACAAGCAGTCGACGACTTCCTTCTGTTGGTGCATCACAGCAAAGTGAAGAGCCGTGTTGCCATGGAAGTCCTGCAGCCACAGTATCTTGAGACTGTTCGTGTAGTTCGTGAAATGATGCTCCTCACTCTTCTCAGGGTCGCCAAGGACCAAGAGTTTGCAGATCTCCTTCTCGCCTATGCTTGAGGCAAGAGAGAGGGGCAGTCCTCCCAGATAGACCATCGGGGATGCTGCGTCCATATGCGAGCTGTCGGGGTTTTGAGTGAACTTGAAGCGGTGGACCTTGTTGATATTGTATCCTCGCAGCCACTTGATCAGCCTCTTGCGAGAACTCAGCAGATTGTTCGGTTTCTGCATGCGGATCACGGATGGCTTGAAAAATGCTCCTTGAATCTCTTTGTCTACCATGGCCCCTTTCGTCAGCAGGAACCTAACCAGTTTCTTCCTCTTGCCAACGATCGCCATGTGCAAGGCGGTTTCTCCTGTGTAAAGACCAGCATCGTAGGGCAGGATCTTTCGCCGGAGAAGTTCAGGATGGTTTAAATCAGATTTGTACTCTTCGTTTACAACCCCTTTCCAATTTCCAACAAACACATGTGCCATGTCCCAGAAGACGTCGGAAATCTTTCCCGACGCCTCCCCCACATTCCTCAGCGCGAACAAACAGATGAGATGCAAAGGATGTTCTCCTACAGGCCCGTGGGAACACATCTCAACTCCATGCACTTCCAGAAGGAGGTCGATGACGCTTTTGATCAGGCTAGTGTATCTGTTGCCGTGGGCACACTCCAAACCTTGGTCCTTTGCTTTGATGATTTCCGAGCACATGGTAGATAAATCCATGTCTGACTGTTCGCCTTGGCTGCAATCCTCTCTTACAGTGTCAGAGTTCTGATAATTCTTTTTAAGGTGATCTTGAACCTCTTGCAGCTGTTTCCAGATCTGCAGGTGGATTGTTCAGAGGAAGAAGTTGTTACCTTACACTTGTTACCTTAGTGCCGAACTGCTTCTGAGTGAAGTGCATCCGTATCGCTGTGTTGGTCTGCCTTTCATAGTCTTGAAACAGCCAACCAAAACTTTCCTTAGCATGGTAATCATTCTCAATCTTTGTCAACAACTTGGTGTCGGGGTGAACTCTTGATGATTGTGACATCTTCATTTCATCAGAACTCAATCAGTGAGAGTCGATGGGGCATCTCATCCCTCGCTGCTCTCCTTCCTCTCCCTCCTTCGCTCCCCTCCTCGCCTTCCCCCATCCGCAACCCCTGCTGGACCATTCCAACCGACACCCTTTGTAATTTACGACACAGATTCCCGGGCCGGGCCGGGGCCCGGGGCCCGGGCCACCGGACCGTGTGCCGCCGCCGCAGTGCCACGCCGGTCCGGCGTCGGCCCTCAGCCTGACTCAGTGACTCAGTATAACCGTCGGTGGCTACCGTGCCGCCGTCGATCGTCACCGTGGCAAGGGGTTTTTCATGGGAGAAATCCAGCAAGTAGCGAACTGTGTCAGCGCCCGGCACTGCGGCAGCAAGGCTGTGACCGTACAGCCCGGCTTTTCGGGCCCAAATCAGCAGTGTTTCACAATTTTTCTGAATTTCGGAAAACAAAGCCGTACCAAATAACATAATCAATAGTAGTATAGTACAGAGAATTTACCCGATGATCGCCCCCCGGCGGGCCGGTGATCATCGCTCAAAGGTGCCACGGTGGTTGGGTTGGGCCAGGGCATCTGGTTTCCAGTCCGATCCAACCGTCCTTTGAATAACTATGCTTCTTCCAAGTTCCTCTTGACGCACAACAGGGATTACTCTTAGTTCGTTGAGCTCACGTCCTTGATTGGTAACTGGGGAACTTAGTCAGGCAAGCAATGATGAAGCAGGATTCACTGCCTGTGAGATTGATGAACGTCGAATGATGGCCCTAGCAGTATGTTGTTGATGTTTCCGTTGCAATTTCAAGCCATACATGGCCGCCTCGCTCTGAAGCTCCTTCAGCTGCTTCATCTTCTCTTCGGTCTTGACACGATTGGGAGCACGGTTCTCAATCGGGTTGCTCGATGACTTGCCTTTTGCTGAACTGATCAGGTGGAGGAGAGGAGATAGATTATGGGTCAACGCTCGATTCTGCAGCAAACACAAAGATTGGGATGGGTTAGGGTATTGAGATGCACAGAAAGGAAACATCTCACTTGAGGAGTGGGCCACGCGAGTCCGGTGGGTTTGACAGCGGCTTGCTGAACAGATCCGAGTTGTCAGCGTATCGAAGAAGCACAAGCATAACATACATCAGAATGACGTACACGACGCGTCGGCCTCGTGCTCAGTCTTGATCTCAGCGTACTCTTAGGCTGAGCCCCAACCGGTTCTGGGAACCAAGTCAAAAAGTCAGCAAGAGAATAGCAATAGAGGAAGCTTACTCGCAGCAGAATAGATCGATCTTGATCTCTTTGCCACATAGTCATGGAAAAGCTCCTTCACTTGCTCGAGATGGAAACCTCGAAGCAGACTGTCCTTATCTAGCGTGTCTGGCCCCTGGTACGTCAAGATCATGGTCGTAGGCTTGTCAGTCTGATAGAACTCCAACTTGATATCATGATATCCGGAATCAAGGAATATCCCTGCGTTCTCTTCATGTATGCCAGAGAACCCCGTGTTGTTGATGAGAGAGACGCCGTCGATGGAGAAAGTCGAGAAATTAGAGGACATAACAGTGAATTGGTAGTCTCCAGAAACATAGATTCTGATGGATCCCACCCATACGGCAGCGATTCGCTTGTCTTTGTACTCGTTGTGTCCATCCAAAAAGTCATCAAGAGTCAGGAAATCGATGGTGTTCTCTACGTTGGAGAAGTCAGGATCGAGTTCTGACAGTGATACGTTGCTCATATCCACTGAGGGGTCGAAGAAGTAGTAATCGCCCCAAAAGCCGTTGATGTACTCATGCCGAACCGGGTTGTTGCATCCGAATCGTGCCATCACATCAGCAACCGAGGAGTTCTGAGTCCCATTGCTGCTGCTGTTGCTTATCGCAAGCAGAGTTTGCCAGGCTGCCTCTCTCGAGTCATCATCAAGGGTGCGCAGACGCTCCATCTGCTGCTCAGAGTCTACTTCAGACAGCATATCATTCACGTCTAGGAGGAAGCTACACAGCGATGACTCCTGCTGGGTTGTCTCATTGTTCACGGCAGCCAGGAATTCTTGCACGAGCGGGTTTGAGCTCTTGGAGAAGGTCTGGAAGGCTTGTCGCACCATCCACTCGTTCTCGTCAGCATATCCAGCTGAGGAGCTGAAGCCACTAGCTGTAAGAATACCATTCCGAGGAGAGGAGGAGACACAGAGGCACAGGAGGCACAGAACAAGACCCGAGACGAAGAGCAACGCGCCTCGGGGTATTGAGCATTCTGGTTCTGCTCTGTGGGATGGCAACGAGCGACAAGAGGAAACAATATGATCCATCGCGAAGTTTTTTGAGCGTCAGATGTTTGAGAGACGATCCACTATGACTCTTTCCCTCCTCCTCACTTCCCGATCCCCAACCTCACCATCTCGTCCTTTCCCCGCCCGCCATGACTCTATTCTGGGAGCGACCGGGCGGTTAAGTCCAGTTACAAGAACACCAACACCTCAACGACCATGTTGCAGCGGTAACGGGGAGGTGTACGCTGGTGGGTACGGGGGTCAGGTGGGTAGGAGGTGTGAAAGTACCGGGTACTTTATAGTGATATGTTATGTGCTTTTGGGGGTATACTCGTCAACCTGTGATGAGACAGGGGGTAGTGAACCAAACGGTAGGTGGCGTGGGGGGTGGGGGCCGCCTGTGCACGAGCCTTGTAGCAAAGGGAGGAACGATATACTACCCCTACTAATAACCTCTAATTTTCTGCATTTGGAGGGGTACATTGAAGGCTCTGATTTTGTGAATGATTTACTTATATTATAAATAATATTAAATTGACTTGCGTTCGGTAGTGATTTGGAAGAAAATATTTTTGGATGCTGAAAAATTGAAAGTTAGGAGAACAAATATAATGTAATATTCATTTATAGATTCTTGAGTAAAGATGTGTTAGACAATCGTTGATCCCATCCTCCGCCCCCTTCCCCACAACCATGCTCTCCCTGGTGCGCGCGCGCGCCGTTCGGGCGGCAAGCACGAGCATGAAGCGATCGATGAGCTCGTCTGCTCCATCCGGAAGCAACAAGAGGCTCGTCCTTGCCTACTCTGGCGGTCTCGACACCTCCACTCAGCTCAGGTGGCTTGCCGACAAGGGTTACGAAGTCATCGCTTTCACCGCCAATCTTGGACAGGTTGGAAAATCAGCGCAGTAATTGACATCGTGTGTATTGTTCAGATACCAGAAGAGAAGAACAAAAAACTGATGACACTGTTTTGCGTTTTGCTTTGCGTGCCGATGATAGCTTAGCTTTGTTGGAAGGAATTTCAACAAAAGATCCACTGTTCTGGCGAGTTGGTGACAATGTGGTTTTCAGGGTGGAGGAATTGTTGAGGAGGACTTCTCGGGTATCGAGGAGAAGGCGCTGAAGTCTGGAGCCGTCAAGGCTTATGTCTTGGATCTTCAAGAAGACTTCGTCAAGAACTACGTCTTCCCCATCATCCGATCCAACGCCATCTACGAGAGCAGATACTTGCTCGGAACCTCTCTTGCCCGTCCCTGCATCTCTAAGGCTCAGGTGGAGATCCTCGTTTCACTGCCTCCTCACGTCGAAGATGCATGACCGGGTGCTTGCAGGTTGCGATCGCCAAGAAGGAAGGCTGCAAGTACGTGTCCCACGGGTCCACAGGAAAGGGTAACGACCAGGTAGATCTGAGAGGCAAGGCTCATCTGCTGCCGTGCTAACAGCTGCCCGCAAAGGTTCGCTTTGAGCTCAGCACCTACGCTCTCGCCGCTGGCCTCGAGTGCGTTGTGCCATGGCGCATCCCCGAGTTCTACAACAAGTGCAGTCCCTTGATCTCCTGCTGCCCACCATGGCTGACGTTGTTACGTGCTGCAGGTTCCAGGGCCGCCAGGACCTCCTCGCCTTCGCTAAGGAGCGTGGAATTCCCATCGCTATGGACGCAGGGAACAGGCCTCCCTACAGGTGACGCGCGTTACTATGCTACTCTTCGTGATTGCCTGGTTGCAGTATGGACGATAACATGTTCCATATCTCGTTCGAGTCCGGCGTGCTCGAAGACCCGGCTGCTACTCCTCCTGAGTCCACCCACAAGTACACCACTCCCCTCGCAAAGTGCAAGGAAACGCACGATGATGTGCAGGTAAGGGAGAATGAGAAGGACAGCCCCGGGTGTCGAGGACTAACGGTTGCTGCTCTGCAGATCTGGTTCGAGAAGGGAGACCCTATCAAGGTGAAGAACCTCAACACTGGAGAGGAGGCAAGCACTCCCGCAAACATCCTCAAGGTTCCAGCTCGCCCTCTCTTCGGCTCTTCTGACAGGCAGTCAGTTCCTCAACAGGATCGGTGGACAGCATGCCATCGGCCGCATCGACATCGTCGAGAACCGTTACGTCGGCATCAAGTCACGAGGAGTCTACGAGACTCCAGGAGGTGACTCCTTTAGCTCTCACTCTCGCTCCTTCCTCCTCTCTCTGACTTGTTGCCCTCACTGCGTCGACCATCCGGCACATCGCTGAGTCTTTCTGCCCTCAGGCACTATCCTCCGTGCCGCTCACTTGGATATCGAGGCTCTCACGCTTGATCGCGAGGTACTGCGGTCTATCCATCGGCATCGGTCGACGTGATGACATGGGCTGCCAGGTCCTTAGAATCCGTGACATGCTCTCCTTGAAGTACTCTGAGTTGGTCTACAACGGCTTCTGGTCTCCCCCTTTGCTCCTCAGTCTCATCCCTCCTCCCATGACCATGTGCACAGGTTTTCTCCCGAGATGGAGTTCTTGCAGCACTCGATGGACTTCACTCAGCGCCATGTCAACGGAGAGGTGACGTTTCCTCCTCCTCCTCCTCCTCCTCCTCCTCCTCCTCCTCCTCACTCTTGTCTCTGCAGGTTCGCCTTCGCCTCTTCCGCGGCAACGCCATTGTGCTCGGACGCTCCTCTCCCAACTCTCTCTACAACAAGGACATCGTGTCCATGGATGTGGAGGGAGGATTCGACGTCTCTCACTCGGAGGGATTCATCCGCACCCAAGCCCGTCGCCTCCAGGCCTACCGCAACATGGCGTACCCCAAGGGCAGGGATCTTCCATCGGTCTGAGAAAGATAGGAGCGAGATAGGCCTTGAACGTCTCTTCTGTCAGCCTACAGCCTGTGGGTAGACAAGTCTGGCAGCACTGTTTTGTATTCCCGCGTCTTGTCACGTTAAGAATATCAACGACTCCTGAAGCTTGAAGCGAACCCTCTTGTTCTCTCGGGCTACGGCACCGTACGAGGAGGCTTACCTGACCTCAAACTCATCTTCTGGTCGACCTCGCGCTCGTGACGTGTAGGAGCTCTGCATCCTAGTGAGCGAGGGAGAGGACAAGCACGCGAGAGCTTCTTACCTTGAGCCAACAGCCTGACCCACCCAACCATTGTAGTGAGTGTCTAGAAAGATCCTCTGAGGGTGCGGTTGGTTGGCTGTCATGGGCACAAGGATGGTTCTTCCCCCATAGATCAGCTTGCCATACTTGGCGATCGGACGCCTGTGGTCGTACAAACGCCCTGTCGACAACCTGCTGCTGGGTCGAGGAGAGAACCCGGCGACATCTCGCAGCTCGTCCTGCTCAAGAGGTCAGAGGTGTTGCCGCACGGAGACCTCACCTTGTCAGGAGCTTCCTTCGAGAAGATGATGCTCGTCTTGCTGCCGTACCCTACCACGTTGATCCGTCGGGCTGACTGATCTCCTCGCGCTGCTCGCTCTTTCATCTCGTTCCAATTTCGATGCATTCCAGCATGGTATGCCGGCCTCTCTATGCTGTGTCTCTTCAGCACTGTTTCAGACTTGACAGGCGACTCGTATGGATGGAACGTGTCTAGGATTGGAGTTGGAAGACGATTTTCTTTGTCGTCAAATCGACGAGTGCTCCGAAACAACATACCGTCTCTCTCCTCCTTGTCGAGAAGGGGAGTACCGATACATCGAAATCTGTTCCGATCGTTGTAGACCATGGTCTTGCTCAAGAAACTGCTCTTCCTGGAGTGCACCTTTTCTTCCGCTTCCGCTTGCCTTGCTAGCTTCTGTAGTTTGATTCTGTCGATCCTGGAAACAGAGCAACGAAGGAAACGTCAACACAGCACAACAGAAGAACAATCGCATTACGATTTCGTTGCCATCTCCGCTTCTGCAAACAAGTCTGCGCTCTGCCTTCCAACCGAGGACACCCAGCTGGTGGCTGGTCGCTTGAATTTGTCGGAAGCTGTCCATTCCCTATCCCAGTCCATCTTGCCCTCGTTGTGAGCTGTCACACGGTGAACAAAGTCAGCGACATGCCTTTCACAACAACAGCACACAACTACCGACTGTCATGCGATCCACCCGAGTTTGATGCGTCATGTGCAACGGGCCCGAGTTTCTCAGATCGAAGCGAAAAGAATGCAGAGATTGAGGAGAGAACGATCTCATGATGTAGAGCCAGACACAAGAGTCTTTCTCCAAGTGTTCGCCCCACGTGCCTTTCCCTCCAAGGACAAAACTTGGAACAGCACACTTTTCCCCAAAGACCCTACCACGTTCCAGATGTTGCTCTCATAGAAGTTCAGAACATCGCAGACTTGGCGAATGCTCTTTGCAGGTAGGTGTGGACGTTTTCCCAGCTCAGCCCTCCAGTTACCTGCGGATTCTTTTGAGAGTCATTTCGTGAATCGGAGCGGTCAATCGTCTCCACTCCTCTCATGTCTTCCATTTCCTCATTCTACAGACAGGAATATTGCTATCGTGTTCTTGATTCTTGCATCCTTTACACATGAAAATCCGTTGTTCAAGTGACCTGCTCGTCCTCCTGAACACTCCTGCTCCGATTCTGCCTACAACGGCTCATGTTCCTACCCCTCTCCAACTTCACCACCATCATCCTGCCACACTCTCAGAGTCCCGATGTGCATCAGAGGAGAGGCCCATCTCCTGTCCCTAGCTCGCCTACCTCTCCTCATGTCTACCCTTCAACTTCCTCCCGCCTCCGCCCCTGCCCATCTGCCTACCATTCCCTCCAACCCATCGGTCCTGCATCCTGCGGCCATCACTTTTGCACCAGTACAAGCATTTCCTTACTCATATTGTAAAGTTTACTCAACTAAAATTTCATACACAGTTTTTATCAAATAGTCCTGAGATACCTTCATACGTCTCAGTACATAGGGGGTGGGTGGGTGATTTATCGCTGTACCTGGCGTACCCCTACCCCTCTCCCTCCCCTCAGTGGTATCCTCGAGTAACGCGAGGGATCGGAGGGCCTAATGGATCCACTGCTGGCCGTTAGCGGATTACCCAAAGAAATCAGTCAATGTTTTTTTCCTTTTTTTATTTCTTTTTTTATTTGTGTATTAGAATCCGACGGTACGGTAGTACCGGCGGTAAGAACTTTCGCAACTCATTGGAAATTACTGCCGCAGTACCAAGTTGAATCAGCATGGCACTGCGGCAGCCAGGGCCCGGCGGCCCCCGGCCCCCGGTGACCCGGGCGGCGCCGGGCTGAGTGCCAGATCCGATCAGGGCCATCTGAGCCCTCCGGCGAGGGGGCCGGGCGCCATCACAGGCGGCTCTGGCCCATATGAGGGCACTCCGTAGCGTCCCCGGGGACTCAGGGCCGATCATCGGATGATGAGTGCGTCACCGTCAGTAGCAGCTGCTCATCGGCCGCGGCTCGGTGAACGGATCATGCCAAGTTAGCCTGTTTGACTCAGGCCGGCGAGCTCAGAATTAGCTCTGGTGGTCCTGATAAATGCGGTGTACAGCGGAGAAGTCAAGGCCCCCCGCCCCCTTGGCTTCAGCCTTGAGATATTGTTGACTGGCTGCAGCAGAAACTGGTAGCTCCAACTCTGGATAATTACATTAAACAAGCTCTTTGAGGAGAACAATTACCGTTTTGGCTTGCAAGTAGGAGCGCAAGGTTGATATCCTTTCTTGCATGCTTCAGCGGGAAAGCGGGGTCGTACTTGCCCTGATTCATGAGAGGCCCCTTGAGCTTGAACATGGGGCTAGCGATGGCTCCAGAGTCAACGACATCAAGCAGATCCGATATCTTGCAGGACATCATCGTCTGGTCAAAGCTATGCTATTTGCAAACCTGCAACCCGGTGGAAGAGGCAAGCGCCATGCCCTCAGAGAACGCACTCAGCATGCTTGTCATGATCATGTTGACGACTAGTTTCATCTTGGCTCCTGCTCCGACCTCACCTGCAGCGATGCCTTCACCAACAAGCTTGCGGCAGAGTCTCGAGAGGTTTGCTCAGTCAAGAATCACTTCACCTAAAAATACGCTCTTCTTTCCCATCGCGTTGAGTGCAGGGAGAACCTACAGCTGTCTCTTAAACATCGTTCTTGTATCACTCAAAATCTCAACCTCATCATAGAGCGACTTGTCGCCGGCACACAGGAAAATCAGGCTTCGGAACTTAGATCACTGCGGAGTGTACAAGAGCACGTATTGAACTCACGTTCCATCTTCAGCAGGCTTCTTACTACCAGAGACAGGAGCCTTGAAGATAAACAGGTCACACAGAGAGCGGTTCTTAGATCATTGTGACTGCTACCTCAAGAAACCTTCCTCCCTTCTCCTTGATGGAAGCACAAATTTGCCTGCTGCAATCGTCCGAGACTGTACTGACATCCACATACGCCTGCAAGGACTTGTCAAGATGGAGGGGTCGACCAGGAGATCCGGCTTACTTTTCCCTCTTTGATTTCGCTGAGAACTCCTTGAATGTCGTCTGTTCCATACACAACATCCTTCGCTGCTTTTGGGTCCGCCAGCATCGCAAAGGTTACGTCGCACTGGTTGACGACCTGCCAGAGAGTGTAAGGTTCTACATCTGTAAGGTCCTCCGCCACCTCTGCCGGGCTGTTGGCTTGCTGTGCTCCACATTCCACCAATGGAACACATTTCTCTGGACTGCGATTCCACACTGTGACGGAATAACCTGCCTTGAGAAGATTCTTTGCCATTGGAATCCCCATAATCCCCATACCAAGGAAACCAAGGCGAGTGGCTCCCTACAGAACATCAGAAGCACTCTTGTGCCTTGCCCTGGTACCATCACCTCGGTTGGACCTCCTCCAGTCATCCTCAAAGGCGTCTTCACGCCCCTGGTTTGTAGGATCGCTCTACCATGAAGATATTGAATACTCGGACTACTTGTGTAGGCCTTGGCTTCAGACGTAAAGAGAACAAGCAGCGCCAAGGCGTTTCTCATCATCATCTAACCGTAAGAACGTGTAGGTCAGTAAACAAGTCAGCCGTCATCAACGAATGTCTGTGAAGGAACATATCACGATCTTGTAGGAGAGAAACAAGCATCATCATCTCTGGCTAGGAGACAAGACAAGACATTCTCTTGCGCGCCTTCGCTTCAGCGCTCCCCTCGCTCATCTGCTCGCTCATCTGCTCGCTCATGGCTTATATGACTGCACTAGTTGGTTGTCTTGGCGCTGCCAAGTTGGAGCAGGTCACGTGACCTGGTCAAAGGGGAGATGAGGTCCCAGCATTGCGAGCAAACCGATGGTCGGAGGTCAGTTCGATGGCGCCTGGCACAGATGAACAAGAGCGAGAGGAGGAGGGAGAGGAGGCAGGGAACGAGGATGAAGGAAAGGAGGTGAGTATGAATCACTCGAGCGCCTGTCTTGCTCTGTGAGGATGAGGAGGCTCGTACAGCTGAAGGCTGCCAGTGACCGAAATCGTAGCTCCGCGGGATTCTCGGAGTACCTGGAGGTGTGCGGGCAGTGAGAGGTGGGGAGGAAGGTGACTGAATGATGTGCTGCTCCAGCGCCATAAGGTCTTCAACCTCATCTCCGACCTCATCTCCGAAGTCCTCCTAGTCCAACCTGACGACCCCCTTCGGTAGTTTGCAGTCTCCTGTGCGCATCTCTGACTGGGCAAGCCCTCCTGCAGGTTTGTCCATGATGCGACAGCCAGACTGCTCGACGTAGACAAGTTCAGTCCAGAAGAGGTTCAAGACGACCATGAGGAAGAGGAGACGATGCAAGAAGCAGACAACGAACGACTCGCCCTGAGGATGCGAATAGAGTGTGTGGGCAGTAGCGGGAAAGTGGAAAGGTCCTACTTTGTCAGGAAATGTCCATCATCTGGGACAAGCGAGCTTCGCATCCAATCTTGGAAGGAGGTTTGCGTCGTTCTCCTGCTTCTCGTGTCACTCAATCTCATCAGGAGGCGATGGATGAGTTGTGTAGGGTTGTTGAGAAAGCTTTCAAGTACCCTTCTCATCCGAACCTCGCTGATGGTGTAGGAGTTGAGGTAACTCTGTTCTTGTACATGCTACGATGGTCCTATGTGACGATTCCGTGCTCAGGTGGGCTCTGGTAGAGAAGAAAGCTCAGGGTCGTGGGTGCTGGACGATCAGTTCAGAACGAGGCTGAAGGATTTGCACGACAGGATGAAGGGGGGGAGGAGCAGGAGTGAGATCAAGTCAATGATCTTCGAACTCTCCATGCAGACGGGGTTGAGCTCCGAGGTGTTGAGCGGGCTTTACGACCTTGACTTCGGCCGGTACGAAGAATCCGTCCAGAGGGAGCGGGAGATTCTAAGGAAAGAGTGGAGTCTAGTCCACGAGACCAACGTCGTCCGGGTTCTTGCTCGAAGCCTTCCTGGCGGGTCCCCCGACTCTCCTCTCTCCTTCCTCGATCGAGCCACACCAGCCGAGCTGAAGAGTGTCTGGAGCAAGCTGACGTCGCTGCTCGCCGGCCCTGATGTTGAGCGGAACCAGTCCAAGTCACAGCTGGCAGTCAGCCGGAGGGGGGCCTCCGGGAACTCCAAGTTTGAGATCTTCACCAACGGCAAGGATGCGCGAGTGGCGACATTCGGGAGGCTGGGGGAGTTCTACAAGGGGCTGATCGACAAGATCGGGCTGCCGTCTCCGCAGCTGATGCGCGCGATGGAGAGCGAGCACTGCATGCGGGGGGACTCTCAGGATGAGTTCGAGCCCGGCAACTACGACACTCGCACAACTCCGTGCAAGGAGTGGCAAGCGCTGACTGATGAAGCGACTCGTAGACGGCTGTCCGTTCCTCCGAGGAGGATCAGGTCGATGGAGGACCTCATGAAGGAGCATGTGGTACAGAGTGCCAACTTGCTGCCTGAAGAGGTCCTCGCGTTGCAGCTTTATTCTGGTGAGACTTCCTTTACAGCATGTTCTTACGTTTGATCGCCCCGCTCATCTCCTCGTGGGTTCCTCTTGCAGCATCACTATTCTCTCCTCCTCCTCCTCCTCCCCCCCCCCCCCCGCCCTTGAACCTTGACTTGGAACTCCAGGCCCGATGTTCCGCAAGTACAACACCGTCCTGCGAAAGTTCCCAGAGACGGAGGTGAAGGCGCTGAAGAGCAACAACTACGTCACGACCATCTTCTGCGTAGTGAGCGGCATCATCAAACTGTCGCGGGTCAGCGAGCTGTCGGAGAGCCGGCTGGTCTTCCGCGGCCTCAAAGATCTCTCGCTCCCTCAGGAGTTCTTCACAGAGGACGAGTACGGTGTGAGGGGAGGCATCGAGTTCGCCATGATGAGCACCACAAGAGACAAGTCAGTGGCGCTGCAGTACGTCGGGACAGGCACAGCAACTGTCTTCGAGATCGTCTACGGGGCTGTTGACCGCGGAGCCTCGATCGGCTTCTTGTCTCAGTACCCGGATGAAGATGAGATTCTGTTCCCTCCTCTCTCGTTTCTTGAGGTCGTGGGTCAGCCGCGGGTTGAGGGCGGGCCGGCCAGCGTTCCCATCCGCATCATTCCTCTGAAGATCAATGCCAACGTCACTTGCTCGACCATCGAGGAGATCGTTGAGAAACGGAAGCAGCTGCACATGGCACTTCTGACTAACACCATGAACGAGGCGATAGGAGAGCTCAACAGCATCTTTGCGAGCGAGAGGGTCGAAGCTCGGCTCACGCATGCCCCATACGATCGCATGCAAGATGGTCATCACAAGATCAAGGCCTCCATCCTTACGGAATGTCAAGAGCTCATGGACTTCTATGCCAAGAGCCCTCCCTCTTGGTTCAACGACGACGAGAACTATGCCAAGGCCATGCTGCAGGCTTCCAAGCTCAAGCAGATGGCGCTGGGCAAGTTTGTCTTCTGGCTGGACCACAACTCGGGGGATGGGATGGCGGGAACGATAACCAAGGAGTCGATCTTCTACCTCCATCGGCTCATGGAGTCCAACCTCCTCCGACGATTTCGCGACAAGGATGAGGAAGAGGATCGCGAGGCTCTCGCGCTGCAGATCTGCAAGCACAAGGGGCTGATCTTCAAGGACCTCGCTGAGCTCAACGACTTGGGCGAACCTCCTCTCTTCGCCGTCGTCGCGAATGGCGATGAGGAAGGCGTCGAGCTGCTGCTGACGGCCGGGTGTGAGATCGACTCCAGAGATCGCGACAAGTCGAGCGTCCTGCATGTCGCAGCCTTCATGGGACACACCGAGATGATCGATCTCCTCATCCAAAGACAAGCAGATCTCTACGCCGTCAACTCCACTGGTCACACGTGCCTGCACACGGCCTGCCGCAACGGACATGTCGACGTCGTTCGCAGGCTGATCGCCCTAGGAGGTGAGAGGCTGGTCCTGATGCAGACCAACACGGGGTGGTTGTGTACTCACAGTGCAGCACAAAACGGTCACTTCAAAGTGTTGGAGGTTCTTCTGCAAGTCGCATGTGAACAGCAGCTGAGCACTCAAACCAACACGGGCTGGTATTGTGTTCATACCGCAGCGCAGAACGGACATGTGCGTGCGATAAGATTAATCTTGCAGACTGGAGGGAACCAGCAGCTGCTGAACAAGACGAATGACCTTCGGACGGTGGCGTACATTGCCTCTCAATACGGGCATATGAACGTGCTCAAGCTGATAGAGGAAGCCGGTATGAACGAAAGCTTCAACATGCTAACAGATGACGACAAGTCTTGTGCGTACATGGCCGCCAGGTTTGGGTTTATCGAGGTTCTTCGATACCTCATCGCGCATTGCGACAAATCTTTGTTTGCTGTCAGGACTTTGAAAGATCAGCACTCTTGCGTAACAGCTGCTTGCTCGAGCGGAAGTGTCGAGGCCCTGAGGCTCGTCCATGAGGTCGTGGGGTCGAAGGTGGTACAGGAGCAGGCGAGGGACGGAAAGACCTGCTTCCACATGGCTGCGATCTTCGGGCATGTTGAGATCATGAGAGAGTTGATCGCCATGGGACACGCCAGCCTCATGTCCAAGGTGTCTCGCGACGCCTCCACCTGCGCCTTCACCGCCTGTACCCACGGACATGCCGCGATCTTGCAGCTCATAGCAGAGACCGTCGGAACTGACTTGCTGTTCAAACCATCCCGACAGAAGCGATCCTGTGCCTTCATCGCCTGTCAGAACGGGCACATGGACTGCCTGAGGCTGTTGTTGCATACAGCAGGAAGAGAACTCTTCGACCAGCTCACAGACGACGGAACGACCTGCGCTCACATTGCAGCTTTTCATGGACATCTGAATGTTCTGCAGTTCCTGGTAGAGAACATTGGGGAGAACGTGATCTTTAGCAGCAACACCGCAGGGAAGAGCGTGGCCATGTTTGCTGCAGAGAATGGCAAGATCGGGGCGATCAAGTTTCTTTTGCAGCATGGAGGAAGAGAGACCATCTTGCGGCCAACGAGCATGGGCAAGACTTGCGCTCATGTCGCTTGTGCCAAGGGCGATCTCGAGATGCTGCAGCTCATCCTTGACATCGACGCAGCTGAGCTCCTGTCGATGCTGACCAAGAGAGGAGAGAGCTGCGTCCACTTCTGCGCCAAGAGAGGCCGCGAAGACGTCATGCAGCTCGTTATGCAGCTGGTCCCGCACGAGTTCCTGACCCTGAGGACCGAGGAGGGGATCATTCCCTTGCACCTCGCGTCTCAGTACGGTAACTTACAAGTGTTCGAGCTGCTCGTGGAGAAAGCCGGCAAGGAGCAGGTGGCCTCCTGCACGGCAGCAGGTGACTCTTGCCTGCTCCTCGCAGCGGCCAATGGCCACGTGAACGTTGTGGGGAGGCTGTTGGAAGAGATGCCGAGCCTGGTGGAGGTTGCCAACGACAAGGGGGAGAGCTGTGTCTACGCCGCTGCATCCAACGGTCACGTCCCAGTGTTGAGGGACCTGCTGCGGTCAGCGAGCAGGGAGAGCTTGTTGCGAGGCATCAAGGATGGAGGGTTCACCAGCGCGCACATGGCCGCCGTCAGTGGGCAGCGAGAAATCCTGAAGATGCTGCACGAAGCTGCTGGAGACGAACTTCTCTTCCTCCTCGATCATAACGGGAGGTCCTGCGCGTACCTGGCAGTGCAGAACGGGAGGCTCGACGTACTCGAGTACCTGGTGTCCGTGGGAGGCAGGCAAGCTCTCAGTGCGAGGACTGTCGATGGCAAGAGCTGTTTGCACGCCGCATCACAAGGTGGGAGGGTGGAAGAGATGAAGGTGATGATGTCGGTGCTGGACTTTGACGATCTTCTCTTGACGGACAATCATGGCAAGTCCTGCCTCCACGTTGCGGTACAGCAGGGACATGCTGGCATAGTCGAGGTCCTGCTGGGTTACACCAGAGCAAGGGAGTTGGTGGGACTGGAAAGTGATCAAGGGAGGTCAAGCGCGTACGTGGCCTCTCAGGAGGGCCACTCCCTCCTCTTACAGCGTCTGCTTGAGGTTGGGGGGGCTGAGCTTCTCAACAGACGCGCCAAGGATGGGAGGACTTGCGCGCATGTTGCCGCTCAGAACGGGCACCTCGAAGTCCTGCAAGTCATCGCAGAGACTGGCGGGCCGGCGCTCTTCGCCGTCAAGACGCCGGACGGCCAGACGTGCAGGAGTCTCGCAGAAGACAAAAAGCGAGAGAAAGTCCTGCTGCTCATGGACAGCCTGGAGGAGGCGGGTGCTGGGGCCTCAGCAGCGAGCGAGCCGGAGTGACTGGTCGGACTTAGGGTGCCACGGTGGTGCCAGGTCACCGTGCACGGTCAGTGTAATGCTGAACTTGAAAGTTTCTTTACTCAAAGATGAGTTAACAATCTTTACTCAAAGTTAAGTTAACAATCAGTACGAGAACAATCCGACATCCCCCCGCTTCGAGGCGGCCTCAGTCGCCCGGCCGCGGGGCCCGGGGGCCGCGCCGGCCACACGCGGCCGTTCGGAGCCCGGCCCGGGCCGCGCTAGTGACAAGTGAGTAGTGGCCGCCGGGCCGGGGACCCTGAGGCGGCGAAGGTCCGTTGAGCCAACGGAAAATCGGGGGTAAGTTTTCGAGTTGTGTCATGCCCCGGCCTGACCACAGGGAGGCACATTTTGCGGCCCCCAACACCCGTACTTGTGACCCCATACCTTTATGTGTACCGTCTTGGTGGTAGGGTAGGTACATACCCCCGTCCCCTTTACCCTAGGGGTGCCAGGGAGAGCGGGGGCAAATAATTCTTGCTGCTCGCTGCTTGGCATGCTCTGCTCCCCTGATGCTGCTGCTGCTGCTGCTACATGTGGGAGGGCTGTTTGCCTCTCAAGCACAGAGCGCCTGACTCTTCTCTGCATGCCTTGCTCAAGCCTCCACCCTCCTTCCTCCTCCTCTGATGTGCTCTGTGCTCATGCCCATGTTGCGTGAAGCTCGGAGCGGGGGAGAATTGTTTGCGTTTAGAGGTAGAGGAGAAGTGTGAGCAGCCGTGTATGAGAGCGAGCAGCGTCTGAAGCTGCAGCCACACCCTGCGGATGCACGTAGATCAGCTCCTGTCATATCTGACGCATGGTAGGCAGTGCGGAGAGGCTTGAGTGTGTCGGAGCTGTTTTGGTTGGGATGAGTGTCGAGTGATTGTTGGGAGCGCGAAGGGGAAAGGAGAAAGGCGATAGTATTTTTTCATTTGAGATCTACATACAAGGAAGCCCAGGAGCGTGTACTTTGGGGCAGGTCATGGATGTGCACGACGATGTCGGACAGCCAAGGCCGCATGGTCATCTCGATAGCATGGAGAGACGTGGAGTGCTTGAGGTCGGGAGTGCGAGAGAAAGTGATGTGTGCCGGATGACCGGAAGAGATGATGAGAGGCTTCAGCGAGGAAGGGAGAAGTGTGCCGGGCTTGTGATCCTCTTCGAGGGAAACAACAGGTGTCGATGGAAAGGCAGAGAGCAGGAGCGGAGACGAGGGGAGCAAGGACAGTGCAAGGATAGTGTACGATTGAGTTGAAGTCTAGGATTGCTGGACGCTTGAGCCCGAGGACCTGCGGGCTCAGCTTGTCTGACTGACATGCGGGAGAGAGTGGCGGCTGTTGCTTCGGGATGCGGAAGCAAGGGGAATAGGGATCAAGGCTCCGGGACTCTCAAGAAACGACAGGAGAGGCTTCATTGGAGGAGGGGGGGAGGAGAGGCGGCGGGAGTGATCGGCAGGGGAAGATATTCTATGCTAGTTGTATTGAAGAACGGAATGAAGTCATGAGCCTCACACCCTGTGTCTCTTGTGAGATGCTCACCTGCTCTGCGATCACTCTGCAAATGGAAGCGCCCACTGACAGCTGCTTGGAGGTATCAGAAGTATGAATGGCGCGAGAGCAGACATGTGGGGAAGCATGTCGCTGAGAGGGGCGACGTGCTCCTGCTTGCGTCGGCATGGAGAGGGTTGGAAGCCTGCGGAGAAAGGGACGACTCGCCCGAGCATGATGGCACTGAGGCCTCTGACTGACCGCGCGCAAGCATGTGCTTCATCATCCCACTCATCGACGAGCAGCAGGAGCATGTGGCCCCCGCCATGTGGCTCTCAGTGTGCGATACGCGCGCAGGCGTCGAGCCATCCTTGGCTGACCTCGTCCCGTGGCTGCTGGTGCATCCTGCTTCCTCTTGCCCTGACCTGACAGACATGCAGGAAGCATGAGGAGCAGTGCCTTCTCCTCGCCTCGCGCGCTCGCATGGGCGCATGTGCTTTGCACGCAGGAGGGCGGCGAGAGGAGGAGGCTCGCAGGCTTAGCTTGTGAGGAGGTGAGCGTCGGGGCTGCATGCGAGCATGCGGAGGGCATGATCAGAAGGGTTCATTTAACAGACTTCTCGCTGGCATCTCAAACCAAACCAAACGCCCCCCCGCCCCTCGCGACGAGCAGGCGACCCTGCGCCTCCTGGGAGGGCCGCTGGGAGCATCGGAAGAGGAGGCAGCAGCGGCAAGACCAAGCAAGCAAGGAAGCCAGTCGCTACTCGAAACCAACCTCCCTCAGGGCGAAGAGCAAGTGCCTGCATACTGAGCCTCCGGTCGAGGGCGAGGAGCCTCCGAGAACAGGGAACAAGACCAGGGCAAGACCGGGCAGGGGAGAGCCGAGGCTACGACATCACGGTAAGGGAGGAGGGGGGGGGAGAGGACAAGGGAAGCGATGGAAGGGAGAAGGGGTAGGGAGGGGTGAGCGGAGGGGTGGGGTTGGAGAATCTTTCCGATTGAGAAAAGGGGCGGTGCAAGGGGCCGGGGAGGAGCAGGGGTGGGTGGGTGGTGGCATGTGGGAAGTGAGGGGGTAAGGTGCTGGGACCAGGAGGGTAGGGGTGATGGGTCTGTCAGGGGTGGGGTGAGTCCGTAGCGACATCCTTTGTCGGGAGGAGGATGCACCCCCTTCTTTCCCCTCACACCACCCCACCCTCGAGAGCTCTCCTGCCTTTCCCTGCTCCTGCACAGGATGCTTGTAAGCGAAGACGCGATGGTAGCTGATGGTCGACGGACAGGCCGCACACCAGCAGCGAGGAGGGGGCGTTAGCTGCAGGATCAGGAGGCTTGGCCAGTGCTGGGAAACGCGACGACAAGGTCGGAGAACGACCGGAGAGCAGCGAGGAGAGCGGAGAGAAGGAGGACAAGGGCAAGGCTCGTCAAGAGGAAGTGGGCGATAGAGCAGAGAGGAGGACGGGTGACGCGAGGAGACTTGTCTCTGACTGTACCTTGGGTCGGACACTAGCAAGGCAGGCGGGCAGCAGGAGGGTACTGACTATGACACGACGGCGGGGGAGAAGGGGAGGCGGTCGAGGTAGGAAGCAAGGATGCCAGAGGGCCTACGAGACTGAGACGACGAGCATGCAGGCAGGCCAGGGATGAAGCTTCTGGCCAGCGGGGAGAGAGTCGCCAACCCTGCAAAGCTTGATGATGGTAGCGAGTGCGACTGACCAAGAAGAGGGTTGACGACTTGATCACGACTAACGCAGGAGACGAGGGTGGTGGGGGGTGGGTAGGGAGCGGGTACAGGTCTGCCAGGCCATAGGAGCATAGGCATTGGAATAGACCCGCGCTGGCATGAACTGGATCAAAGGGGGAGGGGGCTTCACGGGATTGCTTGCATGCTGCATGACGGGCGGAGAGGAGGAGGGGTCGGGCGAGGAGGGGATTTGAGCTGATTTGTGCAGATTGTATGTACACAACATTACAATGGCGCGACTTGTGCATCCAACTCTATCGTGTTTGATTACTTTCACAGTGACTCTTGTTCTTCGCCTGCCAAGTACCACTCGAGCCAGTTCGCATCGATCGATTGCGAGGACTCAGCGGCTGACTCCCGCGACCCTGACCCTGACTCGCCCCGGCTTTGCGAGCTGCTCTTCCCGTCGGCTCCCGGCCTGGGAGGGGTCCTGCTGCTTGACGACATGTATGTGCTGCTCCCCTCCGCTCCGCTCGGGTGTGCCATGGCGGCCTGAGCTTCTTGCGAGCTTGACGATGACCCAGGAGGGTCTGCGTGTGCGTTCTGCTGGTCGGGCAGCCTGCTGCTGCTACTCGTCGCTCCCGCTTCCTCGTCTAGCCCGTTTTCATCGCTTGGGCTCCCGCCGTCGCCGCTCATGCTGTCGCCATTGCCGCTGCCGCCGCTCATGTGGCGAGAGTAGTCCCCCGCTCGCTCGTTCCTCAGGCGAGCGTAGGGCCATCGCTGTATGCCGAGCATACGACAGGCCTTCTTGAGGCTCGTCAAGGAGATGCCCTGCGACACTCATTGAGCGCAAGCGCATGCAGTCGCTGGGGCGACCATGAGCTCACCAGAAACTTGGCGGCGTCCTCCTGTCGCATGTGGAACAGCGGCTCGATGATGTGAGGTCGAGCTGCACGTCGTACACTCTTG